ATGTCGTCCTCTTCTTCTCGTATTTCTCGCGCGACAGCTATCAACGCTGTCGGTATCAAGCTTTCAGACCTGGATATGGCGCCTTGCTCCAATTGTCGTAATGCGAAAGTGCCTGAGGGCGAGATTCGCCCTTCCTGCGTGGTGGGGCCGCGTTCCAAGAAGTGCTCCGAGTGTGTCCGGAAAAATTGTCGGAGTTGCGACGTAACGCTCCGCGCTCAAGAGTGGCAGAAGCTCGTGATTAGTCGGGACAAGCTGGCTCTTCAAATCGAGGAGATCGAGAAGGAGGAGCTGGAGCTGATGGAGGCCCAGGATAAGCTGAATTCTCAGCTTCGGCAGCGGCGGGAAAAGAAATTGCGTCTTCGGAAGATCTTTGCTCAGCAGGCTCGTCGTGCTGAGGCTGCTGTGGAGGCGGAGCTCGATGTCCTGAGTGACGAAGAGTCCGGTGATGGCGAGCCCGGTTCAGCCGTTCCTGTCGAGGCTCCCGTTGAGATTCCTGAGTTTCATCTTGACCATGGCATCCTGGAGCTGCCTATCGAGTCCTGGATGGCCTTAGAGGGGGCCTCATCAGACTTCTTCGCCATTCCTGCAGCAGGAGTCGACAGCTCGTCAAGTTCTTGATTGGTTCCCAGGTATTTTCGCTATTTGGGTATCCTTTCCATTTAATAAGATATCGCTGACCTTTCTGCTCTAATATTCTTTCGACTTCGTACACGTCTTCTTCGAAGTTCTCCTGGTGAAAGGTTTCTTGCAGTGGCGTTCCTGAGTCAGCTGGTTCTAGCTGAGAGACATGGAATGTCTGGTGTTTTCGGGTATCGGATGGCAGCGCAACTTGATAGTTCACTGGCCCGGTTTGTCTGGTGATCAAGAAGGGTCCGACCTTGACGTGATCGAGCTTCTTTGATGGCCTCTTTGTGCCGAAGTTTTTTGTAAGTACATAGACTCTATCCCCCTTCTTTAGCTGAGGATTCTTCTTGAATTGTGACTGCCTTGATTCCGCGTTTCTCTGCATTTTCGTGATTGCAGTAGTCATCTGCGCGTACGCGTCCTGTAGTCGTTTAGCGATATCGATTCCTGACTGTGCTTCGACGCTTGGCAGCTCAGCTTGCCACAGATCTGGGTGTCGTCCGTGATTCGCCCAGAACGGTGTCTGGTTGGTAGTCGATGACAGCTGGTTATTGATAGCTAACTGCGCCATAGGCAGGTATGACAGCCAATCGTCCTGCTTGTAGTTAACAAAGTGCCGTAGGTACGCTTCGAGCGTCTGGTTTGATCGCTCTGTCTGTCCATCCGTCTGAGGGTGGAACGCTGTCGACATCGCGTGTTTTGTGCCAACTTTGGCGACGAAGGTCTTCCACAAGTTGGATGTGAAGAGCTTGTCTCTGTCCGTCACGATCTTTCGCGGGAAGCCATGGATCCTGAAGACTCTGTCTATCAGCGTTTCTGCGGTCTGCCCCGCTGTAAAGTCCTTTCGGTATGGTAGGTAGTGGTTGTACTTTGTCAACCTGTCGACCACTACCATGATGCCGTTGTAGTATCGCCCGCTGGCTTTGTCCAAGGACTCCGGTAAGTCTGTAATGAAGTCCATTGTGATCTCGTTCCACGGTTGGTGCGGTGGTTCGGAGAACTGTATTGTGCCGTATGCCGCGTGGCGCTCGCTTTTGTTGCGTTTGCATGAGTTGCATTTTCGTATGTAGGACGTGACCTTGTCCTTCATCTTGGGAAAGGTGTATCGTCGCCGTAGTTGTTCGAGTGTTTTCTCAATACCTGCATGTCCGCTGACTGCGTCATCGTGGTACTTCGAGATGATATCATGCTCGAGGTCAGGTGGTATCCTGATCCTTTCGTCTGTTGGGTATCGTTCTTCGTCATCTTCTGCGATACCGATGATCGCGTTGATTTCGTATACATTCGGTGAGAGGCTTCCATCTGAGTTTCGCCTCAGAATGCTCTGGTTGAATGTTGCCTTGTCTTTCATATAGTCGCTCCTTCGGCTGAGGGCGTCTGCCCTGCCGTTGTCTTTGCCCGGCGTGTAGCAAATCTTGAACTTGTATTGTCCAAGGTGCTCCGCCCAGCGGACCTGCCGCCGGTTGAGCTCCTTCGTGGTCGTGAACGTGAGCAGGTTTTTGTGATCAGTAAATACCGTGCAATCAGGCGCACTAGCCACGTAGATCCGCCATTGCTATAAGGCGTCGACAACTGCCAGCAACTCTTTGTCGTGGATATCGTAGTTTTGTTCTGCTGGGCTCATTTTCCTTGAGTAATATGCAATAGGCATTCGGTTGCCGTGATGTTCCTGGGTAAGACATGCACCAATAGCCAGGTCTGAGGCATCTGTTTCAATTTGGACAGGTAGTTCCGGATCGAACATCTTGAGCTCTTTTATGTTGGCCATTCGTTCTTTGACGTTGTCGAATACAATCTGGCATGCTTCTGTCCATTCGTAAGGGCGATCCTTCTTAGTAAGCGCCGTCAAGGGCGCCGCGATTGCTGAGAACCCTTGAATGAACTTCCGATTGTAGTTTGCGAGTCCTAGGAATGCCTGGACTTCTTTGACTGAGGTCGGGGTCGGCCATTCGGTGATTGACTTCGTCTTTCTCGGATCAGGCCGAAAACCTTCGGTGCTGATTATGTTCCCTAGGAACTCAACTTCCGTCTTATAGAACTCGCATTTCTCCGGCGCTGTACGGAAGTCAGACTCTGAGAGTCGCTTGAAGACTTCCTGGACGTCCCTAACATGTTGCTTTTTGTCGCCTTTCGTAAAGATGAGGATGTCATCTACGTACGCAACGACGGTGATATCAAGGAGATCTCGGAGCAAGTCATTGATACAGCGTTGCTGCGTTGCTAGTGCGTTCGTGAGTCCCATAGGCATTACGAGGAACTCGTGTAGCCCTCTTGACGTAATGAATGCCGTCTTCCACTCCTCGCCCTCTTTTATTCGGATTGAGTAGAACGCGTCTCTCAGGTCGATCTTGGTGAACCACCTAGCTCCGTGCAGGCGGTCGTGTAGTTCACCAATATTGGGCAAAGGATAGCGGTCTTTGACGGTCATCTCGTTGAGTCGTCGGTAATCGGTGACGATTCGAATTTTGCCGTTCTTCTTTGGTACCGCTAGGCACGGTGCTCCTGCTAGTGATTTGGAGGGTCTGACCCATCCTTTCGCCAACATGTCGTCCAGCCATGCCTTTTCTGCCTTGATGTGGTCTTCTGATTTGTGTCGTAGGCGCATGAAAGGGGGTGTCGTACCTGGTTCCAGCTTGATTTCGTGGTCCCAGGGCCGGTGAGGAGGAAGCTTCTTCATATAGCTTCCTTCCGTGAACAGAAATTTCCACTGTTGGTATTCTGGTGGGATATCGACCGTCGTCGTATCCTCTCGTGCCTCCTCAGGCCATATCTGTTGTACGTTGGCCAGAATCTCTCCATTCTGCCGTTTCGGCTCGATCATCTTGAATTCGAGTGTCCGCTTCTGCCAATCTATCGTTGGGCAGGTTTTCATCAACCATAGGTACCCGAGTACGACGTCGTGCCTGGTGTTAGTGAGGACGTCGAATCGTGTTTCCTGCTGCAGCTGGTTGATCTTCAATGTCGTTGGCGCCGTCTCGCGGTCTACTATCGGGAGGTCTCCTCCATCAATTGCCGTCAATTGATATCCGTGCTTCTTTCGTTGGGTAGCGATCCCTAGCACTTCCACTAGTTCTTCTGATATGAAACTAGCACTTGCTCCTGTGTCCACGAGGGCCATTGTCGGTCGTCCGTTGATTTCCACTAGAGTCTGAAAGACTCCTAGTCCGGTAGCCTCCGTACTGTTGAGCTGGCGTCGCTCCTTGTTGGGGCACTCCTTTGAGTAATGTCCTTGCCTGCCGCACGCGTAGCAGGTGACGTCCTTCTGCGTATTGTTGATTGTTCCGCGATAAACCTTGTTCTTTGAGCGGCAGTCCTTGGAGATATGTCCTGTCTTGCCACAGGCATAGCAAGTCATCTTTTTGCTATCGATCCGAGATTGCTTCTGAAGGTTGTCGATTTCCATAGCATCGGGGTCTCTCGGGCGAGCTCGAAAGCGTCCAATGTTTGGAGTGTCCCGGTACGCGGGCGCGCGTGTGGTTTTCCCATCGTACTTACGTTCCAAGTGTCGCTCGTAGAGTTGGTCGCCAATAATACTGGTTGCCTCGATCATTTGTCCTAGGTTGTCGACCGGGGTTCTGTATCTCATGAGTTCGTCCTTGACGTCGTCACGGAGCCCCTTCCGGTACATCTCCATAAGAGCTGCGTCGTTCCAGTCCAAGACGACTGCGAGTTCTTGAAACTTGGCTGCGTAATCGCGAACGGATCCTGTTTGTTTTTGTAGTTGAATCAGGCGTGCGGCGTCCGTGACTTCGGTAGCATTCCCGAACATCCGTTCGCACGCGTAGCGCAGGTTTGTCCAGGAGTTGAGGATCCCTGTATTTTCTTCGTTAGCGAACTTTTGCTTAACAAACTTCTTGATCCACTGCTCGGCTCTTCCTCGAAGGTACATAGCGGCGAGTAAGGCCGCGTCTTCGTCCGTCGGAGCCGGGTTAAAGCGGAGGTACAGGTCGACTTGAAGGGCCCAATTATCGAACTTGGCACGATCCCCATAGAACAAGTCGGGCTTCGGAACCTTGACCCGTCCCGGTTGTCCCACGGCTCCTGGGGCGACTCCTGGGGCAACTCCGGGGGGTCCGGTTGTCGTGGCCCCTGGGTTGTTGGTAGCTCCCACAGCGTTGAGTCGTCCTTGGAGTTCTTCAATTAGGCTCAGGAAGTGTTGCTGCTCAGCATGACGTTGTCGTTGGTCCTCGACCTGCTGGCGCATAAGGATCCTGACTTGAGCCTTAGTCCCTTCGTCTTCGCTGTCGTCGGAGTCAACGTCCATAGCTCCTGGCATAAGTGGAGTTGGAGTCTTGGGCTGGCTTGGCTGTTTGCCCTTAGATGGTCCTGATACGGTACTCATATTCGAGGG